TCTCGGTGGGCCGTTAGGATTGTAGATGAAGTCGATAACCACACTAAGTCCTAAACGACGACTGTCGTGTTGAACACGACAACCAGCGACGAGTGCCAGTATTCTATACCGCATACCTATGGAAAGCACGAGAAACCGCTGACCCCAGCATCCTTTTTCTCGTGAGACTGCACACTATCGAAAAGTGAGAAAACCCCTGTCCTCATTGTGTTTCTTCAGCCACCCCGCATGCGCCCGGGTCCCGTGATCGTGTTCGACGCGACAGTCCTAGACACAGGGCGAGTGTTGGGCGTGTGGAAGGCGATAATGCTCTTCGGACGGTTGTTGTCATGTTCAACACGACAATTTTGCGGGAGGGGTGGTCGTGTATGACACGATAAGACATTATAAGAAGCATCGTATGAAGGGGTTTGATCGTGTCCATCGCGAGGATCCGGGTACTGCCTTTCTAATTTGCTACATTTGTAATGTCGGTCGGTGATTCCCTTAGCAAATTGGCAATCACTATCACAGGGGACTCTGCAAAATGGATGTTGTGGACGCATATTAAGGGAAAAGGTCAAGGACCAGGAGCTCTGCGAGTTTCGAGCGCTCGCCCAAAAAGTCGAAGGGAACCCCGGTTGCTGGGATCGAGAAAAAAGAGACGCCTGGGTCTAAGGCGATTGTGCAGCGACGATCATCAAGCTCAACAATGTTGACACCTGTGCATTGCGGTACACCGGTTTCAGGTCCCACGAATCGCCTAAGGGGATATGATCAAGCCAGGGAGGTCGCATTGCATGCCCAGACACCGGGGCGTGGTGGAGGGTCTGGTGGTCGCGGTCAAGAGTCTGGCGGTCGCGGTCAAGAGTCCGGTGGTCGTCGTCAAGGGTCTGGTTGTCGTAGGCAGAGCTATGCGCAAGAGACAGCGGGCCATGGAGGCTCTGTTGAGAAGTCCGTCCATAGGCGGTCCAAGGAGGTGCCCGTGGTTGACCACAAAGAAAAATTCTGGTTGTTGGATTGGGTGGGCGATGTAGGGGAGGCTGGTAGTGGTTTGCTTTTATACACCATAATTCAGGAACAAATCAGACCGATAGGGGGTATAGTGTCTTGGTCAGGGAAACGAAATCCATTTGCAACTTTCGAGATGACTATGGTCCTCAACGACAAAGACGAGAAAGTCGCGAGTGTGAAACATGTCGCGGTCAGGTGGACCAATCATAAAGGATATGATAAATCGCTCGTGGATCTTTTCAATCCAGATCCACGTCAGGAACTGAGACTGCCTGATCTTCCTATGGTTTTCGACTTCTTCGACAGCAATAAGGTTCCAGGTCAGGAGGCCGTGACTCAGAAAGATGACATTACTACAGAACCGAAAAGTGTTATGTCAGCGGCCGCACTAGGACAATCATCCGCAGCCCACGAGCGACCTTCTGTAGGTGCCTTGCCACTTCGGACGTCAGTCTCTACGCCGGTTGTACCGAAATGGGGTCACATCGCTAGCGAGGGCCTTCTTCTGGGACCGGTGGCGCCGCAAACGCCAAAGGAAATTCGACCTGTGGGAGGGAAGGAGCCGCTCAGCTATTTGCGTGGCATGATGCATTCGTCGACCACATCTGGTGCAGATGTCCAACGTCATCAAAAACCAACATATTTCGAAGATCGGGGGGAAGAGAGCAGTGGAGAAAGTACAGAGAGAGAAGAGGACGAGGAAGGGTCGCAGGGCCGAAGTAGGGAAAGTCGCGGAGAGGAAGAAGAGGATAGTGAAAACACTATCAGCGAGAAAAAAACACAGCTTGAACATGATCGAGGGGAGCTTCACGTCCGCCACGGGGACAACAACGATTACGAGAAATCTGACGATCGTGTCGAACACGATGACGAACCGCTCGAGGAAGAGCCGCAACAGAAAAAGAGTGGGAAAGGTCGCCCTGCGAGAACAAGAACTCCTTCGTCAGCCCCTGCAGCTGTCAGGGACGTTGACGAGAGAAAAAGAAAAGCGAGGCACGAGAGGACAAAAAGTCTTGAGCAGAAAAGGAGCAGGAAAGAGTCAGTGCAAAAAAGACAAGTGCAGCCTCTGCCGATGGAAGAAGCAGTCCAACGTGCTCGCGACGCAGATGCTGCTGCCAAACAAAAGCCGATGAGGAAAAAGAGAGCAGCGAAGGGTGGCACGATGGAGAAGACGACTGTTTTCCCCGCATCTGAACAACCACAGTACGGGGACGAGAGAAAAGGAAAGACTGTCGCGAGACCATCAAGCTTACAACTCTCGCCAAGTGAACCAGAGACTTTGCATCTCGACAAAGGTTTCTTTTTAGACTACAACAGTGATGGTACTCGAAAGAACGACATACAGTTCATCTCTATTGAATTCGACAAGATTCTGGATATTCCTGATAAGGAATTCAGATATAATCAGAGATTCCTCGGCCAGAATCACATTGACGAGATATACGAAGCGATGGTGTCATCAGGTGAAACGACCATCAGAGAAAGAACAACAGGCAGGACGGGGTTGAGCACATGTCCGCTGTATGAGAAACCAATATTGCTGCTGGTTGCTCTGCATAACAAATTGCGTGTAGACTCATCGGGAAAAATTATGCGAGTAAGAAGGGTCACTCCTGAAGAGTTTTACGATAAACAACTGGAAAGTTGCTTCTGGTACCCTCTGAGTGACCAACACAACGTGGCAGCAGCAAGAAGATGTTTTCGCAAAAATGCAGCCGTGGCAAATGAGTTGCAGCTCAATTACTGGACAGTTAGGCCAGTCTACTATCCAGACCACTTCATGGATCATTATGGGACGTTGAGCACATTCCAGAATGCGAAAGACAAATGGAACACTCCGCCTCATCAAAGCATCGTAGTTCAGGATATTAGGAAGTTGTGGAAGGCGTTCGGCTGTCCAGATGCCAAAGGTGGACAGGGAACTGATGTCAAAAATGTGGAGTACAGAAAGTTTGCAGGAAAGGCTCTGAGAGTGACTGACATAGATTATTACCTGCGTAGCACCCCGTTCGTGTTCTCCGACGAACGCGAACGCGTTCGCCCGAATGCGAACGGGCTCCGAAAATTAATGAACGCGAACATTTTATATATATATATATATATATACATATATATATATATAGGTCGGGGAGGGCATGGGTGGTGTCCCTGACCCCCGACCCCCTGCCCCCCTCCCCGGTGTCTGCGAAGGGGGGGCTCTCATTACACCTCCCCGCCCCCCAGCCCCCTTCCCCCCCTCGGACAGACTGTATGTGACAGTCTGTGTGTGCTGTCCCCTACCAGCCACAGACGTGTGACAGACTTCCCGTCACAGTCTGTCACATTCAAGGTGTTGGGCAACACCCAAATTGTGCCCCCCACCATATCCACCCCATCGCACAGTTCGTATGTGCTGTCCCCCACCAGCCTGACACATGTGACAGACTGTCCATCGCAGTCTGTCACAGTTGGTCTTTTGGCCAGCACACACGACTGTCTGTCACACAGTCACAGTTTGTATGTGCTGCCCCCCACCCGCCTGACACATGTGACAGACTGTCCATCACAGTCTGTCACAGTCGGTCTTTTGGCCAGCACACACAGACTGTGACAGACAATCTGTTGATTCGTTGCAAAACTTGCAACACACAAAGTGGTGGGGGGCAGCCGCTGTTACAGTTTGTGTTTGCTTCCCACCAGATTGTGACAGACTGTCTGTCCAGTCTGTCACAATCTGGTGGGCAGCAAACACAAACTGTAACAGAGGCTATCCCCCACCCACCACTTTGTGTGTTGCAAGTTTTGCAACGAATCAACAGACTGTCTGTCACAGTCTGTGTGTGCTGCCCAAAAGACTGACTGTGACAGACATTTGACACAGGCCGTGACAGACTCTATCACACAGTAACACACACACCTGCACTTGCTGCAATAACACACACACAGTGTCACACACATACATACACTTGCTGCACACACACACACACACGCACAAGCACACATACGTACAGTCGTTGCACTCACACAGTCACACACTCACAGTCTGTCACTGTCCGTCACAGTCTGGTGGGCAGTCTGTCACACACTCACACACTCACACACTCACACACACACACTCACACACACACACTCACACACTCACACACTCACATTGTACAACACACACACTCTGTCACACACTCGGACACTCAGACACAAACACTGACATTCACACAGTCACACACTCACACTATCAACCTCACCGTCTGTCACAGTCTCACACTCACACACTCACACACTCACAGTCACACACACAGTCACACACTCGCACTCACAGTCTGTCATAGTCTGTCACACGCTCTGTCACACACTCAGGCACTCACACACTCACTCACACACTCACTCACACACACACACACACACACACACACACACACACACACACACACACACACATACACATAGGAGGAGTGCAGGACAAGGAAGTGCACAAACAAACCGGAATGCAAAAGCAACTTTTCACTGTTTTCAGGGCTTCAGGTGAAAACAAGCAGCAAGGTATGTGGTCCACAATGTCGCGAAAGATAACGGGTTCCTCTCTCTCTCTCTCCTCTCTCTCTCTCTCTCTCTCTCTCTCTCTCTCTCTCTCTCTCTCTCTCTCTCTCTCTCTCTCACACACACACACACACACTCTCTCTCTCTCACACAGGCCGATCTGCAATCCCACCCACCCCCTTCTCTCCAGCACCTGCCACATCAGGAATGTCGTCGTCGTCGTCGTCCCTTTCGTGCTCCAACGCCATCCGCACCCTCTCCAGCAGATGAGGTGGAAGCTTTGCACCGGTGCGGTGCAGCCTCTTCCAAATGGAGAGGTTCGCACCCGGACATCTGGCGGACGCCCTCGCCGTGACGAAGTGCTCCCACTCACGTTTCCGGTTTCCTTTGTACTCCTTGTTGCAGATTTGGCAGCGCAGCCTTCTCGACCCGCGAGAGTTGCCTGGCAAATTCTGCCCAGGAGTCACCCAGGTCCACACCACGTGGTCCCTTGGGCAGGCCATGTCCTCCTCGAATGGCTCCTCTGGCTCGTTTGCCATGTCACCCGACAGCAGACACCGCAAGCGGCAATGGGGGTGCACACATGGGGCTGCTACGGCGAGAACTGCTGATGTGGCACCTCCTCACGTGCCTGTTGCTGACGAAGCAGGTCCGGACGTGACAGTCGTCGACGTGGTCGCTGCTCCTGGCGTGGGACGTGGCATCGATTCCTGCCGAGGCAGCGTCTGACGTGGCGGCTGCAAATCCTCCTGCTGCCGTCGCAGCTGTGATCATGCGCATACGCGAAGCGATGCAGGGGTGTAAGAATCCGAAATCTGTTAAAAAAAAAAAAAAAAAAAAAAAAAAAAACGACAAGGACGAAGGCGACAGGAGGAAGAGGAGGAAGAAGTGCAAGAAGGTAGAGGGACGAGGAGAAAAGAAGGAGAAGAAGAGGAGGAGAAGAAGAAGAAGACGAAGATGGGGAGGAGAAGGATAAGAAGAAGAAGAAGAGGAAGATGACAAAAGGAGGAGGAGAAGAGGAGAAGAAGATGACCAATGGAGGAGGAGGACGATAGAAAGAAGAAGAATCAGAAGAAAGGAGGAGGGGGATGAGATGGTGAGGAGGAGGGCGACGCAGATCAGATCAAGAAGATGAGGAGAGGAGGAGGAGAAGGAGAAGATGAGGAGGAGGAGGAGGAGGAGAGGTGTAGGAGAAGGTAACGAGGAGAAGGAGGAGGAGGAGGAGGAGAGGTGTGGAAGAAGAAAAGAAGAAGAAGAAGAAGAAGAAGAAGAAGAAGAAGAAGAAGAAGAAGAAGAA